TAAATAGCAATTGTATTTTTCTACTTGTCCTTAATAGAAAATGAGAAAGTTAGTGGGCTATCTATCCTTTGTCTTAGTCTGCTCCAGCTGCTATAACAAATTATCATAGGCTTAAACAACAAATGCTTATTTCTCCCAGTTCTAGAGGTTGGGAAGTCTGCCGTCAGCATGTCAGCATGGCCGATTCCAGAGAGAACCTCATTCCTGGCTTGTAAATGGCCTTCTTATTTTAGGCTACATGGTAGAGAGAGAGAAAAGGTAGCTCTCTTCCTCTTCTTATAAGGACATGAATCCCACGGTGGAGGCTCTACCTTCACGTCCTAATTCCCTCCCAAAGGCTCCACCTCAAAATGCCATCATATTAGGGCTTCAAATTAAAAATCTGAATTGTGGGGAGGATACAGGCATCCAGCCCATAGCACCCTCCACTGCAAAATGTTTTCTATCAGCCTGTGAAATAAAAGTCCACTATAAACTACAGTGTATAAAATACAGTATTTATATATATGTTAAAAATTATGGTCCTTTTCTTTATTTATACTTCATCTGATTCCAGAAAGCATTAAGGAAACAAACTCAACTCCTTTGATCTAATGCCCAGGAAGGACTCTTCATTCCAAAGGCCTCACATGGGGCTCTCTAAAAGCAAGTCAGAGGTCTTTCGTCCCTCCAGGGGTAGACATGGATCCAAGTGATGATTTTATTTGCCTCTTCCCAGGGACTGCAATGGGAAGCAGCGAGTCACAGTAGAAAAAAGCAGCACCCCGAGGGCTTCCCTTGGCTGCTTGTCACCTGTTCTGTAAAGGCTTCAGGAGCCCCTCTTCTGAGTGATACTACATCCCTTGTGTACCAAGGCCTTGATGGGATGAGGGTGAAGGAGTTCAGGGCCTGGTAGGAAGTGAATAGAATGGAGGTAGCAGAAGGAGTGATCCATGAGAGAGAGCAGGGCAACACATTCACTGAAGGGAGGAATAGGAAAAAGTGAGAGGAAAAAAAAAAGCCTTTATAAATAGTGGAATTTAACTTTTGGGAGGAGAGAGAGAATTGATGTTTTCTTAGGCATTTGCCCAGGGGAATGTTTACTCATGGTTTCATAGCCAGAATAAGCTTAGTGTTAAAGTAGAAATGAAGTAATATTTCAGGCAGACATGGACATGATGAAGTATCGTGTAGCATGTATACTTGGAACGTGTGTCTTAGACAAATCATAATGCCACATATATGAAGATGATGCTCTGGACTTTGATGTCTGACGGCAGATTTGTCCCAAGCCGTGCTGCCCTACTTTCTTGATCCTTGTTTTTGAGATGGTTGGTCGGGTTGGGGTGTTTCCTGCAACCACGGAAAAAGTGAATCTTATTGGTTCACTTATGACTAGACTCAGTGTGGTTTGAATGCTATGCTGTGTCTTAAACCTATGCTGGGTTAGGCTTCTAGCATGTTAGATCCTAGACTGGGAAGCTAAACACACACACACACACACACACACACACACACACACATCCTTAGAAAGAAATGCAACTAGGACCAGCCAGGCTCTTTCCTGCCACAAAGTCCTTGGGCTTACTCTTCCTTCCGCCTGAAACCTTTATTCCTATTCTCTGTAAGCCTTCCCTTTTCTTATCCTTTACACATCCCTTCTTCAGAGAAATTGTCCGTTACCATCCTATCTCAAATAGACCCCACTGGCATTTCCTCTCTTAGCATCTTCTCAGATACTAATTCTTTTAATGTGCTGATTAATTTGTTTTGTTTTCTCTTCCTCTACATCCCTCTAACTCCAAAAAGGTAGGAACTGCATCTCTTTGGTTTACCCACTGTTTCCTATACTCTTATCACAGGGTCTGATTCATAAATGGGACTTAACTTTTGTCAGAGGAGCAAATCAATAAATTAACTGCTATGAATTCATATCCTGGATTTTAACAGGTAAAAACATGGCACTACTGGGGAGCCTGGGTGGCTCAGTCAGTTAAGGGTCTGTCTTTGGCTCAGGTCATGAACTCAGGACCCTGGGATCAAGCCCTGGCCTCAGGCTCCTTGTTCAGGGAGGAGCCTGTTTCTCCCTCTCTCACTCTCCCTGCTGTGCTTGCTCTGTGTCAAATAAAATCTTTTTTAAAAATCCATTTTCCACCTTAAGAAAAACAAAAAAAAAAACCTTGACACTACTGTATTCGGATCTTACCTTTTTAGAATAAGATTTCAAAGTGTTTGGCTATTTAGGAGGGCTCCTGCTCTTGATTTTCCTTCAAAGTGTCCTGAAGGTGGATGGAAGAGCTTGTGATGTTGCACATTGTTTATGGATTTTTGGTCCTTTGGAAAAGGGAGGAGACCCTTTATTTGGAGAACAATTCTGTCTATAAAGTCTCTGGAGACCCTTTACATTTTCTTTTGTTTTACTTTTTATGCCAATGGTGCATGTTCACAGTCTGGTGACAAGCAATTTGGTACAAATAATGGGAAATATTTGAGGCAAGACACTACAGTTACCCAAGGGCTAAAGTCCCTGCTGTCAGAGACATGTCCCTTTAGAGAGAGAAAATGTCACAGTCACCTCCTGGGTAAAGGTGACTACATCAGCCCTCTCATTTAAAAAGAGTTATCTTTTTGTTTTTTCCTGTGCTTCATTTTACATACGTTCACTTGAGGTGTGAGCATGTCAGCTCTACTTCTCAGTATGATGATTACAACTAGTTGTGTTTTACCTATTTATATCCAACCCAATTTTCAGAAAAAAAATGAAATAGTTTATGTATTCTTTTTCTATTACTGCATAACAAATCTATTACTGCATAACAAACTAGAGACTTAAAACAGCACAAACGTATTATGTCGCAGTTTCTATGGCCAGGAGTCTGGGCATGGATTGGCTGGGTCCTCTGTCCCAGTCTCACAAGACTGCACTTAGGTGTTGGCCCAAGCTCATTCAGATTATTGGCATAATTCATTTCCTTGTGATGTATGACTATGGTCCCCATTTTCTTGCTCTCTGTTGGCTGGGAACATTCTCAATTTCTAGGGGATGCTCCTCCCCATAGGTAGTTCATAAGCTACCTGTCTGGTTTCTTCCTCTGCAGGCAGTCAGAGAAACTGTTTTTTTGTTTGTTTGTTTGTTTGTTTTTTAGATTTTTTTTAAAAGATTTATTTATTAGAGTCACAGAGAGAGAGAGAGAGAGAGAGAGAGGCAGAGACACAGGTAGAGGGAGAAACACGCTCCATGCAGGGAGCCTGACGTGGGAGTCGATCCTGGGTCTCCAGGATCAAGCCCTGGGCCGAAGGCGGCTCTAAACCACCAAGCCACGGGGGCTGCCCAAAGATTTTTTTAAAAAATTTATTCAGAGAGAGAGAGAGAGAAGCAGATACACAGGTAGAGGGAGAAGCAGACTCCACACAGGGAGTCCAACGCGGGACTCGATCCCAGGTCTCCAGGATCACACCCCCGGCTGCAGGCGGCGCTAAACCGCTGCGCCACTGGGGCTGCCCTTTTTTTTCATTTTTTAAAAAAGATTTTATTTACTCATTCATGAGACACACACACAGAGAGAGGCAGAGTCACAGGCAGAGGGAGAAGCAGGATCCATGCAAGAAGCCCCACACGGGACCGATCGCGGGACTCCAGGACCATGCCCCGGACCGAAGGCAGGCGCTAAACCGCTGAGCCACGCAGGGATCCCGAGAAACTATTTTTAAAGGGTTCATCTGATTAGGTCAGACCCACCCTGGATAATCTTCCTTTTGATTAACCTAAAATGACTGATTTGTTTCCCTATCATGTTGCCCTGCCCAGGTTCAGACTGCTTTCTCAGCTGGCTTTTAACAGGTTACTCACTGACTCAGTCTTGCTCTGGCTACAGCCAACTGCTCTTATGGCTACAGCCAGGGTAATCATTCTAAATCTGATCCCTGCCACTCCTTGAGTGGAATCCTTCAATGGCTCCTTGTCCTTCCCAGGATAAAGTCCAAACCCCATGATATGGTTCAAAGGTCCTTCATGATCTGTTCCTCCCCACCCCATTGGCTTCAGCTTTCGGCCCCTTGCTCAGTCCCCCACCCTGCCACCTCACTTGCTCCCCATCTCCTTCCTCTTGGTCTATGCCTCTTTATCTGACCTTATTACATCTCACCTTAGACTTCACTAGCTGTGGGATGCCTTTCCTGCCTGATCCTCCCAAGACCATAGTAGGGACCTTCCCACAGGCTCCCTACTTCCCTACCTCAGCGTTTACTGAATCAGAGCAATCATCACAATGCAGTGTAATGACCTATTATCTTCCCAATTAGATTGTAGCTGCCCAAGATCACGAGCTGTATTTTTTTTTCTACATTGAGCAAGGACTCATAAATTTCACCTGAATGAATGGATGGGCGATAAATGTATGAAAGTATGTGGCTGTGTCGGGGAAAACACCGTGACTATATTTTGCAAACATCAGCTTTGCTAAGTAACTATGTATGTACCAGGGAACCTGAAAACAAAGCAAGTGATATTCAGACAGTCTGGGAAAATCAAGTGCACATGAAAACCTCAGGCATAAAGTTCCTCTGAGCCCTCTCAAGAAGCTGCTGCTTTATAAAAACAAAAGGAGAACCAAGGAATATGGGAGTCAAATTGGGAAAAAAGGGAAAATGTAGAGAAAGCATTAAATCATCTGAGGAGGGACACCTGAGTGGCTCAGCAGTTGAACATCTGCCTTCGGCTCAGGACGTGATCCCAGGATCCAGGATGGAGTCCCGCGCTGGGCTTCTTGCAGGGAGTCTGCTTCTCCCTCTGCCTATGTCTCTGCTTCAATCTCTCTCTCTTTCTCTCTGTCTCTCATCAATCAATCAATCAATCAATCAATCTTTTAAAAAAATCATCTGAGGAGAGTATTCTCTTTTTAAATGAGAAAAAATAGATTTTTTTCTGTTTTCCTTTTGATCACAGATTGAGAGATTGCTAAAGTAACAGAAAAATAAATCATGTGTTAATCCTAGTCTTGACAGGCCTCCTGAAGAGGGCGGTTGTCACAGCTAAGGCACCTTTTGTCTTCTGATAAGTGTGGGAATATCTGTTGAAAGGAGCAAAATAATTCAATGTTAGTCAGACAATCAGTCAGTCAGAGGCCGGGGTGGGGGAGGTTGACAGAGTGAGGGGATGTGGAACAAGTGGAGGAAACTGGAGCTTGCCCTGTTTCACCGAGGCAGGGCTCTGAAACGGGGTACATGGCAAAGAACCCTCACCAAGCCCCAAGGGCAGGAACCCCAACATACCCAATGGCAGGTTATGAACTTGTGTGCTTGTGATTACATATCTCTTCAAAATCTTTACTAACATCTTCTTCCTCAGTAACATTTTTAGTACAAATGGGTTCTGGGGAACTCAGCAAGGTGGACATTGCTGGGTGTCACTGGCACAGGGACAGGACAGAGTCATTCCATAGAGTCATTTACATCACACTTACAAACCCAGAAAATGTTTTGAAAGCTCCATGTTGTGTAAAATGCCCATGTATGAAAATAAGTGGCAGTATCTAGGCATTTGTGTATGAAATCCTTTTCTTATTGAGAAACTATTGCTTATTGTTGAAATAGCCCTCTGGGATTTCAGAAGACTTGGTCACTTTGTCTTGCTATGGGAACAGCATCAATTAAGAATCATGTCAGCCTTTCAGCCATTCCTTCAGAAATCTCCCTTGAATGCCTGCTATGTTGCAGGCTTGATGATAGACTCTGGAAGTAGAGTGGCCAACCAGCCGGAACTGGCCTCCAGATGCGGTGTGCACTGGCATTGGAGACTTCTGGAGCCAAACCATTACCCCAGAATAGGAAAATCTTAACTGAATACTGCTGAATGGATTCACTGCCACAACAGAGGGCTAACCCTGGAAACAGAGACCATTCTGAATTGTTCTGAATATATTTATGTTTAAATATGTCCCAGATAACAAAATAGAAAGCTTCATCTGATGGGAAAGCAGGAACAAGCCTTTCTAACGTGTGGCCCCAGCACTGGTGATTTCAAGTAGGGACTCTCTGGGGCTGCTTCATCTCCATCTCTTCTTTTCTAGCTGACCCGGGGCTGCACTTTCTTTGGTAAGACTCTGCCTTCATGTCCTGAGTTGGGAACTCTCCTGGTAGGGGTTGCTTGAGGGATGCTTCTCTTGAGATGGAAGTTAACCTGGAAGAAAAAAAAAGCAGCCGCTAGGAAAGTAAAGTAGTCAGTTTCGTATACCCTGGAATTGAAATTGGGGAAAACATGTTTGGACCTGGTTTCACCACAGTTCCAGGTCCTGAGGGCAGGGGACCAAGGAGCATGATTTCAGCAGCACTGGTAGTATCAGGCGTGGCTGACAATTCCAAGAAGTGGTTCATAATCACTAGCGATATATACATCACTATATATATATATATATATACATATATATATATACATATATATATATGTATATATATATGTATATATATATATATATATATATGTATATATATATATATATCTGAATTAACTTAATATACATTTGTTTTATAAGGATTAGAAGAAAATTACATCTGCATCTCAAATAACAATTTCACTAATATTACTACTTAGGACAGGAGCTATGATTGACGGTGCCATAATAATCCCCTTCACGCCAATGTGTGAATCACAGGCATTGTGCTCTGGCATGCCAATGAATACCTCGACCTTCATATCTAAACCTGCTGCCATAAATGCTTGAAAATATAGATAGTAGAGATGATACAGATTATTAGATGGATTCCTAAATTCCAAATTTCCATGTACAATGAGTGCATCCTTTCCAGCAATACACTGAAACTTCCCCTCTGGCCATAGCATGCAGATGTAAAGATAATTCTGACAAGTGTAGTATCTGCTGGCTGTGGAACCATCCGAGGAAGAGGGAGTGGCACAGTGTTCTAACCACACTCCCTTGAGGGATCCTTGGCTTTCAGGCTCTTGGAACCATTTGAGCTGCTGAAGCCAGCTGGGAGGTGAAAAATAGGCAAGAGAGCTCTCCATGGGGTTATTTTCTGCCTCTTCCACAAAAATCCACAGCCAGCTTTTCTGCTAGTTCCCCAAAGTAGAGGAACTCAGAGCAAACTGTACTATATCATTATCATTTTGTATATGGTAATTCAGAGATCTAGGAAAGAGAAAGAGAGAGAGAGAGAGAGAGAGAGAGAGGGAGAGAGAAGGCAACAAAATAAGGGGATAGAGGAAAAGGAATGGAGGCTGACATCTGGCAGGCTGTGGAGAAAAGCAAAGAGGACACTGGATGACTCTGGAAGATCTTTGAAGGAGTCTTAACTGTAACATGAAAGGCCTCTAGTAAATAATCTCCCCCCACCCCCCAGCCAGATGGTCTCTGCTTTAAAATGAAGAGAGAGGGGCAGCCCCAGTGGCTCAGCGGTTTAGCGCCACCTTCAACCCAGGGCGTGATCCTGGGGACCAGGGTCCCACGTTGTCGGGCTCCCTGCATGGTGCCTGCTTCTCCCTCTGCCTGTGTCTCTGCCTCTCTCTCTCTGTGTCTCATGAGTAAAAAAATAAAATATTTTAAAAAAATGAAAAGAGAGATAGATTCTACTGTGATTAACAAATGGGTTCTTAGTTGTTTTTCTATCTGGGAATTATATACAAAAGACCTTTTTTTTTCTTTCTGAGTTATATTTGACATAATGATAGGTTATGTTAATTTATTTAAAGGCTATATCACAAAGGAAATGAAATCTTCTGAAGTAGAATATATTACTTTTGTGGACTTGCAGTTGTTTGCATCCGGCTTTGAAAACCACTTGTAAATTTTTTTTTATTTTTATTTATTTATGAGAGAGAGAGAGAGAGAGAGAGAGAGAGAGAGAGGCAGAGACACAGGCAGAGGGAGAGAGAAGCAGGCTCCATGCACCGGGAGCCCGACGTGGGATTCAATCCCGGGTCTCCAGGATCGCGCCCTGGGCCAAAGGCAGGCGCTAAACCGCTGCGCCACCCAGGGATCCCCTGAAAACCACTTGTAATGCAGGGCTCACACATGTGGCTGCAGATCAGTCATTTGATTTTTGGGTAGAACAAGAAAAAGGGATGGGAGAAAATGTTTGCAATTTTTTTTTGTTTGGGTTTTGTTTTGCTTTGCTTTTATTTATTTGAGAGAGAGAGAGAGAGAGAGCACAAGAAGGGGGCAGAGGGATAGGGAGAAGCAGGCCCCTCACTGAACAGGGAGCTCATCCTAGGACCCTGGGATCCTGACCTGAGCTGAAGGCAGATGCTTAACTGACTGAGCCACCCAGGTGCCCTGATATTTGCAAATGTCTTATCAAAGGACTAGAATCTAAAATCTATAAAGAATTTATCAAACTCAACACCTAAAAAATAATCCAGTCAAGAAATGGGCAGAAGACATGAACAGGCATTTCTCCAAAGAAGACATACAAATAGCCAACAGACACATGAAAAAATGCTCAACATCACTGGGCATCAGGGAAATACAAACCAAAACCACAGTGAGATATCACCACCCCATGAGAATGGCTAAAATTAACAGGTCAGGAAACAACAGATGCTGGTAAGGATGCGGAAAAAGGGGAACACTCTTACACTGCTGGTAGGAAGGCAAGCTGGTGCAGCCACTCTGGAAAACAGTATGGAGGTTCCTCAAAAAGTTAAAAATAAATCTACCCTATGACCCAGCAATTGCACTACTAGGTATTTACCCCAAAGATACAAACATAATGATCCAAAGGGCACCTGCACCCCAATGTTAATAGCAGCAATTTCCCCAATAGCCAAACTATGGAAAGAGCCCAGATGTGTATTGACTGATGAATGGATAAAGAAGATATGGTATATGTTTTTTTTTAATTTTTTATTTATTTATGATAGTCACACACAGAGAGAGAGAGAGAGAGAGGCAGAGACATAGGCAGAGGGAGAAGCAGGCTCCATGCACCGGGAGCCCGACGTGGGATTCGATCCGGGGTCTCCAGGATCACGCCCTGGGCCAAGGGCAGGCGCCAAACCGCTGCGCCACCCAGGGATCCCAGAAGATATGGTATATGTTAATAATGGAATATTAGCCAACAAAAATAATGAAATCTTGCCATTTGCAATGACGTGGATGGAACTAGAGTGTATCATGCTAAGCAAAATAAGTCAATCAGAGAAAGACAAATACCGTATGATTTTACTCATATGTGGAATTTAGGAAACAAAACAGATGAACATATAGGAAGGAAAAGAAAAAATCAAATAAAACAATCAGAGACGGAGACAAACCATAAGACTCTTAACTCTAGGAAAACAAACCGAGGGTTGATCGAGGGGAGGTAGATGGGGAGATGGGGTAACTAACTGGGTGATGGGCATTAAGGAGGGCACATGATGTAATGAGCACTGGGTGTTATATGCAACTGATAAATCACTAAATTCTACCTCTGACACTAATAATATGCTATATGTTAATTAAGTTGATTTCATTTTTAGTTTTATTTTTTTAAGGATTTGTTTATTTATTCATGAGAGACATAGAGAGAAGCAGAGACTAGGCAGAGGGAGAAGCAGGCTCCTTGCTCGGAGCCTGATGTGGGATTTGATCCCGGATCCTGGGATCAGGCCATGAACCAAAGACAGACATTCAACCACTGAGCCATGCAGGCGTCCCCTTAGGTTGATTTTAAATAAAAAAAAAGGGGGTGGGATTTGCTTCAACGTGGATGGAACTGGAAGGTATTATGCTGAGTGAAGTAAGTCAATCGGAGAAGGACAAACATTGTATGTTCTCATTCATTTGGGGAATATAAATAATAGTGAAAGGGAATATAAGGGAAGGGAGAAGAAATGTGTGGGAAATATCAGAAAGGGAGACAGAACATAAAGACTCCTAACTCTGGGAAACGAACTAGGGGTGATGGAAGGGGAGGAGGGCGGGGGGTGGGGGTGAATGGATGACGGGCACTGAGGGGGGCACTTGACGGGATGAGCACTGGGTGTTATTCTGTATGTTGGTAAATTGAACACCAATAAAAAATAAATTTATTGTTTAAAAAAAGGTGGGGGGGAGAAAGTTGGTTGGGAAACTGAGAAGAGCAGATAACAGGCTGCCACAGTTACTCTTTGTTCCCTGCATCTACAAGTAGAAGTAGTTTATAATGTGTCGGAGCTAGGAATAGAGGGAGGAGAGGGATGGAGGAACTATCTAGAAATTTCAGAAGACTTTTCAGAGGATGTAAAGAACTCTTTATTCAAATCCTTGTGTTAAAATAATGGATTACAAACACGGGTTGTAAGCTTAGCATGAGGCACTGTAACACACTGGCTAAGAAGGTAGCCCTGGAGGCCCAAGAGAGGTTCCAGTGGTGGCTCCACTTTACTGGCTGTGTGACATTGGACACACTTCTTACCTTCTCTATGTTTCAGTTTCCTTGGCCATAAATGGGAATATTTACAGGCCTCTGACAGAGCTGTTGTTAGGGTTAAATGAGATCATTCTGGAAAGCTCTCATATCATGTCTTCCACATATTAACCATTCAGTAAATGGTACCTGTAACTGTATTTTACTGCACAGAGTTAACAGGGAAAGGAGCGAGTGGGTGAGCGGGTTGGCTAAGCTCTAGGATTGTATAGAGAAGGAACTGGACAAAATGAGGAAGCCCTAGGGAAGAGCAGACTTGTGGGTAACAAGGTCTATAGAACTGCCTCATTACCTTTTCCTCATTTGGGAAACCTGAAGATTATTGTCCATGATCTCTGAGCTTTTTTAGCTCTGAGATCCTACTCTAATATGACCAAAGCTGAAAAGGTCCAGCTGGTAGGTCAAAAAGCTCCTTGAAAAAAAAAAAAAAAAAAAAAAAAAAAGCTCCTTGCTTCCCGTCCTTCCTATGGAAGACAGCCATAGAGAGTTGAATACTGGAGAGCCCCTGGCTCTTTGGCTTAGGTGAGTGGCCTGTAAGAGTCTGGCACACAGGGCACCAGGAGGGGGCAGCACGCCATCTGGTGGTAGTCTCAGCTGATGGCACAAAAGCATGCAACCCTAGGGTGTCTGTAAGTGGGCAAGGTCTCTGGGATTTACAAACCAGCATTTGTTGAGGAGTTTCAGTGTATAGGTCACGTAAACGAAATGCTTTATATGCACTTTTTCATTCCAACCTCTTATAAAGGAGGTGCTATTATCACCAATTTACAGAGGAAGAAATTGAGGAAGAGTGATTAGGTAATTTGTCCAAGCTCTGTAGACAAATGAGCCAGATTTAGAAGAAAATAGTGCTTTTCATCATTATGCTATGTTAAACAGAAGAAAGAGAAAAAGCCAAATGGAAGGGGGAAGGGCATAATAGGAAAATGAAGAAAAACAAGCATATGAGAGCAATGATTTTTTTTTTTTAAGTGAAAGAATGGCAGAGACTAGAACCATGCAATAGGTTGGAAGTGATCTTTACAGTGCTCTGCGAAGGTCAGCCTAACTCACCAGTTTTGGTTCCCCAGGGCCCACGGTCACAGTCACTGTCTCCGGCTCAAACCCAGGTGCTGTGGCAGTGACAGTGTAGGTGCCTGGAAGCAGGAGCCGGAAGTAATCTCCATGGTCACCTAAAAGTTACAAGAATATAACTCAGTCTGCTGATTAGAAATCTGCCATTTGGGACCTTGATATGAAAAACCATCAGAGGGTTTTAGCTGACCACAGCTTAATTTTTTAAAATAGCATGATGAAACATGAAAACAATTTTAGGCTATTTTATATAATAAGAGCATGAGCTTCTCAGCTCATAGGGAGTAGGAGTTACACTGCTCTGTATTGAGAGTATTGTGTTTAATTCTATACTCTATATTTTAAAACAAACTCAAATCCAGGAAAGAGTCACTAGGAAAAAGGTTGAAAGATCTATGAATGTTTTGCATGATAAAGACACCACACGAGACTTCTGTTCCAATGTTAGAAAAGCCACTGTGAAGAAATGACATCTATCTAAAAAAAAAAATAAGAACGAGAACTATAAGTTTAAATTGTAGGATCAAGATTTTTGCTAGACAGAAGCAAAACTACTGTGACAAATAGAGTTATCAAAAAAGAAATGGGCTACATTATGAAATTGTGAGCACTGAAGTAGAGAATGAATGAGCATTTCCAGAAAAGCCACATAGTTGTGCAGTGCACAACCTGCACTGATGGACATGGCTCTACACTAATGGACATCATGGCCCTGGGTTTGAAAACTAGCTTCAGTGGTGTTGTATGTGTGTAACCTTATACTAAGTGGGAGGGCTGGACTAAATGACCACTAAAGTTCTGATTTTGAGAATTCTATTTTTAATATTTCTTCTATCACCTTATAAATAAAAGGGAAAATAAAACCAAAATAAAGCTTATTTTTCTATGGCAAGGATATAGATTTTGGCTCATGACTTTGTATCTCTTTATATTTTATTTATTTATTTATTTATTTATTTATTTATTTAGAGAGAGAGAGAGAGTGGCTGGGACACAGGCAGAGGGAGAAGCAGGCTCCATGCAGGGAACCCGATGTGGGACTCGATCCTGGCTCTCCAGGATCACACCCCAGGCTGCAGGCAGCGCTAAACCGCTGCACCACCGGGGCTGCCCTTTGTATCTCTTTAGAATCAGTTGTGATCATGCCCTTAAAATTTCTTTTAAGTGTACAACAATGAATAATTGAAATAATAAATGTAATTAAGAATAATACGACTATAAATATTAAGAAAGTCTCTTCTCTGTCCCCTATTAAATGTCTGTAATTTATTTAAAATACTTTAGCAAAAGCAGTGAGTTATTATGCACATATTGGGTAGTATAAGTTATACCCCAGGGGCTGTCATTTTCTTAATTGGGGACTTACAGCCAGGAATGGTTAGCTAGCATTATATCAGAAAGGCCCAATTCCAGATACAGCTATTACAAGGGCTTTAGCTATCTTTATAGGTAATCCACACTAGATGCTCTTCTAAGCAGCATAATGAAGGTTAGGCAATGAGCTTTTTTGATGGTGAAATGAGTAATTTGTTAATTTAGCATAATGAGTGTCGAAAGTGGGCTCTTCTTGGTGGAATTAGTGGTATTCAATATATATTGATTGGCTAGAATGTTTCAGAGACATTCCCTGTCTATGCATGACTAAGGTGTAAAAATCTAGCAAACTGTGAAGTTCAGAGGAATGCCCAAGATTTGATGCCTAAACAGTCTTGGGTCCAGCCACTGGTATGGAGGATACTGGCTGTCTGAGGCTCGACTCTGAGGATAGAGAATCCTGCCTTTAGGATGTTGCTCCTTTTGCCTTGAATGAAACTTTCATGTAAGATGTGCTGGGATCAACCTTTAATAATATTAATTATCTCCTTTAAGTTGAGATTTCATCCAGTTTAAACAGACTATAAGTCTGAACTGTAAGATGCCTGTGTGGTAATAAGCATCAGTGTGATAAAATGTGGCTGAGCCTTGCTTGTATAGAGGTCGTGGGAGATAGACAGATTTTACCCACCCCTGAGCATTGGTAAGCTACTGCTCTACATTAAAACCAAAACATCAGAAAAAAAGAAAAAATCTGAGTTGTGCATTATCAAATTTGTCTGGGGTAGTTTGCAACACCTGCACCATGAGATATTCTGTAGCATTGCAGGTTTCAGTTCACTTCCGAGATCTGCCTCTGCCATCACTCTTGCCCTGCAACAAGCCTATAGAATGCACCTTGCTAACTTTTCCCTGGATGGAGATGTAGTGAAATGCCTGGGACAGGGACAAGACTAAATGTCAGTTTTATATAGTCCTTTTCTTTTCAACCCCATTTCACACCGGTTGGTGAGCTACCAATAACCTCAAACCCAGAAAACACCCCTAACATAGTTGTATGGGGCAGTGACTTCTGAATGCTGAAAAAGAAGTTACATCTTCCTAGTCCTGGCCTAAGTTCACTGTCCCTATGTCCATCATCCTTCCTTCCTCCTGTCTCCACCTTCAATGTCCTTGCCACCCTTACTGGTCTCACTGGCTTACAAACTGGCCTCCTGATCATGTTAGAGAAAAGGTGAGGACGTGAAGGCTTCCTTCTCACCCCACTAAGCAGTGGCCACCTACCTGATGTGATGTCATGGTTAATCCCACTAACAGAAATGACAGCCTCTGCAAGGTTATTATGATTCTCATCAAGCACCATTCCCTTGATGCCCTGGTGGACCTGTAGGAAAGTTTGTAGTGCACAGTTATGACCATAAGACATGTGGTCGTTTTTTGGGAGTCCTCAGAGCCCTTTATCATAGGTTTTTGCATTTGATCTTCACAAAGATTATGGTAAGAGTCCCTTAATTAGCTGGTCTCTCCCCACTCCTGTTCCTGACAATCTCTTCTCAACAAAGCACTCAAAGTGGGTACTGTGAAAATCTAAGGCAAATTTTGACACTGGATTTGACTACTCATGCAAGCAAAATTATACAATATTTGTCTTTTTGTGACTGGGTTATTTCTTTTGGCATAATTTCCTCTGAGTTCTTCCACACTGCAACATATCTCAAAATTCCCTTCTTTTCTAAGGTTGAAGAATATTCCATTGTATGTCTATACCACATTTCATTTATCCACTTATCCATCAGTGGACACTTGGGTTGCAACTTGAGTTACTGCTACCTTTCAGCTACTGTGAATAATGCTGCTATTAATATCCGTGCACAAGTATCAGTGCACATAGAGAGTATCTCTTTGAGATCCTGGTTTCCATTCTTTTGGATCTATATACAGAAGTGGAGTTGCCGGATCATGTAAGGCTATTCTATGTTATATTTTTGAGGAACTACACACAGTTTTTCATAGTGGTTGAACCATTTCACATTCTCAGCAACAATACACAAGGGCTCCAATTCTCCACATGCTTGCCAATGCTTGCTACTGTCTTTTACTGTATTGGAAGCCGTCCTAATGAGTATTTGATTTGTATTTCCCTAATGACTGCTTGTTGCAGTCTTTCATTGCCTGTGGCATTCTCATCTGGGAGCCTTTTTTCCTCTAGAAAGCTTGCATGATTCTCTTTCACCTCCTTTAAATCTGCTTAAATGTCATTTTCTCTGTAAGGCCTTCTTCATTGGATTTTGCATTTAACATGTTCTAAAACTTACTTTATTATTTTGTTTATTGTATATATCTCCTCACTAAAATATAAGCTCTATATTGGCATATAAGCCTTATATGTTTGCCCATAACCCCCCAACATATAGTACCCTTTCTGACAGGTAATTGCTTAATAATGTTGAATGAATAAATCTGATTGGTAAAAGAAGCCCAGGTGTATGGTATGGAGTCAAAGTAAAAGTCAGAACTGAGTCTCACAAAATTCCTTGCCCGTCATGAGAAAACAGTTCTCTTTCCATGACCAGGAAAATTCAAGAATGGGATTTTACCTGTTCTAAGAATTGGATTAGGGCTTCTCGATTACCCAGCCACTCACGCTGTAATTCCTCTTGGCGAGGAAACTTGTTGCAACTCAGTTCCAGCGTGATCTCAAAACAGTTGGTATGGAGATAGTTAAAGTCTTGCATTCCTAAGGGGAAGAGGGCAGTGGCAGATTTGTAGAACCAGGATCCCACCAATGCCCCACCACAACTCTCCATGATCACAATTTCTTTGCTTCCCCCTCCATGACCTTCTATTCTACCTCTAGGTCTTCATTTATTTCTCTCCATAAAATCTTTCCCCAATTCTGTAATGTTCTCTCTTTACAAATTCCCTTTTGTCATCCCCATCCTCTCTTCCTCATTTCATCCCTTAAATTCACTTCTTGGGGAACCCTGGGTGGCACAGCGGTTTGGCGCCTGCCTTTGGCCCAGGACGCGATCCTGGAGACCCGGGATCGAATCCCACGTCAGGCTCCTGGTGCATGGAGCCTGCTTCTCCCTCTGCCTGTGTCTCTGCCTCTCTCTCTCTCTCTCTGTATGACTTGACCCTCATAGCATTTCCAAAGTCTGCTTGTTAATGGTGCCTTGATAATAGACTTGGCAAGTGTGCTGCTTCTAGGGGGACAGATCTTCTCTTTGGATGATGATGTTCTTCAGATCTTGGGGGTTAGAGATAAGATGAATATCTTGCTTTCACATTCCTCCTCCTATCTGAGAAAACAGCACTAACCTGAGAACAGTTAACCCAGAAAAATGGGCCCCTAAGAAAGCAGAAGGCAGCTGGAATTTTCTTCCATCTAAGGCTTGTCTGTTTTTAGCTTCTGAGTTAATGATTTAAAAAATATGTTCCTGATTTATTAGAGTGGTATTTATATCACAAGTGTATTTGGGTTAAAAAGTATTCATCTAATCAACTTTACCTGCTCTAAGCTGATGAGCATAAGTGGCAGCTATAGAATGAGGAAAGTTGGAGAATTGTACCTCTTATGCTGGATTGCTCTCTGCAACAGAATAATCTAGAAGGCTGTGTCTTCCAGCCAATACAGGTTGCTGGGCCTCCTTAGCTTAAGTTTCAGTAGGTATGGGGTAAGATCCACCCCTTACTGCCAGTTTGCAGTTCTAATGAGTTCCTTGGTGATGCTAATGATGCTGGTCCAGAGACCACACTGTTGTAACAATCATTTTAATGAACTGAATAATCTTGGAATTGTATCACTTATTTTAGGGCAATGATTTTCAGTGGAAGCTTGGACCATGCTTTCCCAGATGATGGGAAGGGGGAGGGAGAAACAAGTACAATTTGGAAAAGTAGATTTCATATTTTAAATCGGGGGAAGGACCTATTGGTTTCCTAATGCAAACTAAATAATAATAATAATAAAGATGATAAAGTTCAACAAAATCTCCTCACTTTGTGTTTAAGCAAGTTTTCAGCCACAAGATGTCTATCACCTCCCAGTACATGGTGACTCCCTAACCTTCCTCTTCCCTACTCTTCATAAAACCAGCCATCAGCTCAGCTCTTTTTTTAAAGCTTTTATTTATTTATTCATGAGAGACACAGAGAGAGAGAGAGAGAGAGGCAGAGACAGAGGGAGAAGCAGGCTCCATGCAGGGAGCCTGTCGTGGGACTCGATTCAGGGACTCCAGGATCTCACCCTGGGCCATAGGCAGGCGCTAAACCACCGAGCCACCCAGGCTGCCCCAGCTCAGCTCTTAACAGTGAGCTTTCTGTTAGTAATCTTTCTGTCCAGGTCATATTTGAAAGGATGGGAGAGATAGCTGCTAAAACATGATGCCTAAAAGAACCTGGCTTTCTGCTTCAGCGTTCCTATCTTTAGGTTCCCAATCTACAAAAATTCATAGACAGTGAACCCCAATGTTGGGGAAGGCCTTCAGTATTGGGGAAGTCTCAAGAAAGAGAGACAGAAACCTCTTGCTGGGGGTTTCTGTTATGCTGTCAATGGCCAATGTCAATGGCAAACTCAGGCTCAAAGGAGACGGGCAGGCAGGCTACAGAAAGCAAGCACATAGCAGGGAAACTGTTGATGCCCAGGCTAGCTCCTTTGGTCATCTGTTGCTATGTAAGGCAAATAGCTCCACGCTACTTAGAAAAGATCCCAATAGGGGTGTCTGGGTGGCTCAGTCAGTTAAGCATCTGCCTTTGGCTCAGGTCATGATCCTGAGGTCCTGGGCTCAAGCCTGAGTCAGGCTTCCCCCTCAGCGGGGAGTCTGCTTCTCCCTCTCCCTCTGCCCCCACCCCCTGCTTGTACTCTAGCTCTCACTCTCTCAAATGAATAAATAGTCTTTTCTAGAAAGACCCTAATAATTAGGGCACCTGGGCGGCTCAATTGGTTAAGCATCTGACTTCTGATTTTGGCTTAGGTCATGACTTCAGGGTTGTGAGATTAAGCCCTAGGTTGGGCGTGGTGCTCAGTGCAGAGTCTACTTGAGATTCTCTGCCTCTTTCTGCCTCTCACCCTTCCCTGCTAGTGTTCTTTCTCTCTCTCTCTAATAAATAAATAAATCTTTAAAAAAAGATCCTAACATTAATAAGCCAGGCATTTCCAAATGCTTTATGTAATTTTTAAATTTAATATTCACATCAAAATTATGATGCAAGTATTTCTTTCTTTCCTTCCTTCCTTCCTTCCTTCCTTCCTTCCTTCCTTCCTTCCTTCCCTCTCTCCCTCCCTCCCTCCCTCCCTCCTTCCTTCCTTCCTTCCTTCCTTCCTTCCTTCCTTCCTTCCTTCCTTCCTTCCTTCCTTCCTTCCTTCTTCCTCCCTTCCTGAGAGCATGGGAGGGAGAGGGAAAAAGAGAGAATCTTACACAGGCTCCAGCATGCAACCCAATGTGGGGCTCAATCTCACAACCCTGAGATCACAACCTAGCCAAAATTAAGAGTCAGATCCTTAACCGACAGAGACACCCAGGCCCTTGCAAATATTATTATTCTTAAAGCACAGATGAGAAACCGAAGTACAGAGAGGTTAAGTAATTACCCTGAAGCCACATAACTGGTAAATGGGCAAGCTGGGTTTCAACCCAATTTACCCTTACAGCCACAGTCTTAATCATCATCTGACTTCATTATTTTCCTCCTATGCCCTAATCTACTAGGTAAACCACCAGTTTTAAAGGACCACAAGGTGTCCCTACCTTCATTTTAAAGAATCACAAGATGACATTAAATGCCAACTTAAGAGTTCTCCATTTCTCAGATCTCTACTTGAATGCACAATTCTATGGTATTCCTATTGTTTTCCTGAGAAAAATGATAATTTAGAAAGAGAAATGAACCCTATTCCACTTCAGCTTGCAGCACTGTTGCACCCAGGACTCTTCTTACCCTTGCTGAGAGAATACCAGGAAGCCCCATTGGTGATGCCATCTGGGAAGTAATCCCCACAGTTCCAACCTTGGTGCATCCATCCATGTGCATAGGAGTAGATCTTGGCCAGCTGTAGGTAGAGCAGGTGGAAAATGACCTGAGTATTCCCAACTCATACGGCACTGCTCATACTCAGAAATAAGGTGACACCACGAAACCCCACTATGTATAAACAACTGATTACTTTAGCGAAAGAAAATACCAGCAGGCATAGGAAGATTGTGTGTGTGAGCACATACATGTGTGTGTGGGGGGGAATGCGTGGAGGACTAGAGTTAGAAGAGCTGTATTCTGAGTTTTCCACTATCTTAAGGATAAATTTCTTCAAGTGAAAGTGAGGGGTGACACTAGATGATATATAAACTCCTTTCTACGTATACCATTTTCTAGCTGAGTTTTGTGACAGGTGGGATACTCACCACTACACTAACAAGGACGGCAAGCTTAGTTTTATGAAAGAAAACAAAGGAACAAGATAGGCCTTTGCCATGCAAAGAATTACAGTAGTCCCCCCTTACCCACTGTTTTGCCCTCTGTGGTTTCAGTTACTCATGGTCAACTGTGGTCTGGAAGCAGATGATCCTTCTGACAATATGTCAGAAGGTCAGTAGTAGCCTAACGCTAGGTCACAGTGCGTACGTCATTCACCTCACTTCATCTCGCCATGTAGGTATTTTATCATCTCATATCATCACAAGAAGGGTGAATACAGTACAGTAAGATTTTTAAAAAAGATTTGTTTATTTATTTTGGAGAGAACATGAGAGAGCACAAGCACGCCCACATGTAGGGGGAGGGGCAGATGGAGAGGGAAAGAGAGAATCCTCAGACTAGGGGCTGAGCGCAGAAACCAAGAGTCAGATGTTCAATTGACTGAGCCACCTAGGTGCCCCTACAGTAAGATATTTTGAGAGAAAGGCCATATTCACATAACCTTTATTATGGTATATTCTTACAATTGCTCTATTTTATTATTAGTTATTATTACTGTGCCTATCATAGGTATGCATAGAAAAAATTATATATAGGGTCCAGTATTATATACAGGGAGGAGAGGAATTTATGCGGAATCTCTTTAATTCTCTTTCTTTTTTTAAGATTTTATTTATTTATTCATTCATGATAGACATAGAGAGAGAGAGGAGGCAGAGACACAGGCAGAGGGAGAAGCAGGCTCCATCCCGGGAGCCCAATGTGGGACTCGATCCCGGGACTCCAGGATCACACCCTGGGCCAAAGGCAGGCGCTGAACCGCTGAGCCACTCAGGGATCCCCGTTAATTCTCTTTCATTACTACTTTACAACAGTGGAAAAAATGAGATTACTGGAGAAAAAAAATATAATAATGTATTTGCTTTGCAAAGCAATAACTAGTGTTACTCTATGAAATTCATTAATTGATCAATTAATAATGTTAATTGTTATATTAGCCACACTTGCTAATAATGTATAAACTATAAAATAATCTGTTCTTTTTATTCTCCTGCTGTTTTGAACTATTATGTAAACACTTCTTTTTTTAATTTTATTTATTTATTCATGAGAGACACAGAGAGTGAGAGAGAGAGAGATACAGGCAGAGGGAGAAGCAGGCTCCATGCAGGGAGCCCAACGTGGGACTTGATTCTGGAACCCCAGGATCACACCCTGAGCCAAAGACAGACGCTCAACCACTGAGCCACCCAGGCGTCCCTATGTAAACATTTCTTTATGTATATAATCTATTTTTCATTAATATATTCATATCACCATAACTATAACTATAATATAGTCATACATTAGACCCCTCAAATACTCCCCTGAGCCCCAGGTGCCTCTGGCCAGACAAGCTGCCATTCTGCATACCTTCTGGAAAAGCTTGTCGTCAGGCGTGGGGGTATTGGCAGTGCGGCGGAACCCTCGGACCCGATGCTCAAGGGACTTGTCATATGGGTAATTGGCCACAACTGCCCCTCCATGGAGATTGGCCGAAAGAACAAAGTTGAAGGAGCGGATCCAATGGATCACAGCCTGGGTCTCAGGTTCCACCTATGGAGAGATGAGGGCCTGGCAGTGAAGCTGCAACCAGAGGTGCCAAATGCCCATATCCAAATGAGCTTGTCAGGAAGTGGCCTGAGAAGATTGCGTGTCTGAATACAACAGAGTATCTTCCTGGATATAAGAAGCATAGAAGGGAAAATTTTGGTCTTCTGCCTGATGGTTTAAAAAAGTTAAGTGGATGGACTCTTTTTCAAGATGAAATCACATTTGAAATCTCAATATACAAAATAGCTAAAAGAGCATTTAGAGCAGTGAGTGGAACTGTTTTGTGTGATACTATAACGGTGGACAAATGCCATGATCCATTCATCAAAACCTATAGAACATACAACATGAAGAGTGAACATTAATGTAAATTATGGACTTGGGTGATGATGATGAGTCATTGTAGTTCCTCAACTGTCACAAATTACCACTCTGGTGGGGGAAGTTAATAATGGGAAGCAGGGGGTATGGGGGAACTCTACTTCCCCCTGAGTTTTGCTGTGAATCTAAAAGTGCTCTAAAAAATTAAGTCTATTACCGAGGACTTCTCTCAGCAAGTGCAATTAGCAGCTGCTAAGAAACTCAAAGTTCAAGGTGAAGCTGTCTCAAACAGTCAAGAAAACACACAGATTCCAACTATATAAGAGGAGAGTGAAGAGGAAGAGGTTTATCAAACAGGTATAAAGGTTAAGGACATAGAACTGGTCATATCACAAGCAAATGTGTCAGGAGCAAAGGCAGTCCAAGCCTGAAGAACAGCAGTAATGCTATCACCGAATAAACAATTGTAACCATCTGAAAATGGAGGACCTTTTTTTGTGTGTTTCAAAAAGAATAACTGTAGCTTGGTTTGAAATTTTCTGTTTATATCATTAATAAAATTACGGCTTCTTGTTAGATAAAAATAAATAAAGTCTATTTTAAAAAGGGAGAGAGAGATTGGTTTGAAGAGGGGTAGCATGGTTGGAGAGCCAGAACTCCCTGAACCTCCTTCTATAGCTAATTGTTGGTGAGCACGTAGTTCATCACATGTAGGAGAAATTTCCTTATAGAATACTAGAGTCCTCTGTTGACATTATAATGCACTAGAAAGAATATTGGCTTAGGAGTCAGAAGACCTGGTTTTAATCCTGAGTCCTTCAATTACGTGCTGTGTGAGTTGTAAAACAGGGATGAATATCATTACTGCTTCATGCATTTTCCCCACAGTGTTACAAAAATCAGCTGAAACACTGGCTAAGAAAGAATTTTGTACAATTGCAAAGTTCTGTGCAATTGTATAATACCACTTTCACTTTACTATCATGGCCACTAACATCAAACAGCCTGTGCTCCATGAGGGGATTTTTGCTAGGAGAGAAAATGGATACAAAGAGCGGAAGATACAGTTCTTACTGCTCTGGACAGATTAACACAGAGCTGAATTAATGCTTCATTCTTGCCTGTTTATTTAATGTGAAGATTGCTAGAAGAAATTCCAGATGCTGATTTACCTGCTTCTGCATGCATATTTGTCTCCTACCTGACTTTTCCAGTTGTCTGGAAGAGGCAAGTGGTGGTTAGGGCCTCCGTGTTTCTCATTGTAGTAGATGTAGGTGTTAAGATCCGGGAAGTTGCGGTTTAGGTCCACTCCGTTTGCATTGTTCCTGCCAACCAGATACCCAGAACTGTCTGCGCCCTAGTGGGAAAATGAAGAAATGAAAAAGGAAGGTTTCAGGCTGAATCTTATAGTGGAAGAACACTGCATAGTATTTTTGGGCATTAGCTTAATCTATCAAATGATGTAGCATTTTCTTCTTTAATTTATCCAAAGTCCCCATGGCATGGTTCAAGTTTCCCTGTAGACCACATGCTGATGGTAGAAATCCCAGGAGAAGCTCTAACAAGAGTAGGGTATTTCACAGGTGCCTGGGTGGCTAAGTTGGTTAAGTGCCTGCCTTTGGCTCGGGTCATGATCCTGAGGTCCTGGGATTGAGCCCTAACTTGGGCTTCTTGCTCAGCAGAGAGTCTGCTACTCCCTCTCCCACTGCTGTTCGCCCTGCTTGTGCTCTCTCTCTCTCTCTGTCAGAATAAATAAAATAGGGCAGCCCCAGCGGTTTAGCGCCACCCTCGGCCCCGGGGTGTGATCCTGGAGACCCGGGATCGAGTCCCATGTCAGGCTTCCTGCATGGAGCCTGTTTCTCCCTCTGCCTGTGTCTCTGCCTCTCTCTCTCTATGTCTCTCATGCATAGATAAATAAAATCTTTAAAAAAACAAAACAAATAAAATATTTTTTAAAAAAGAGTAGGGCATTTCAGGATAACGGGAACCCCTATTTTTTAATATAGCTTTATTGAGATATAATTTACATACCACAAGATTCACCCATTTTAAGTGTACAACTCAATGAATTGTTAGTCCCTGATGACAAAAGTTGTGTGAGTATCAACACAATGTAACTTAGGAAGATTTCTAACACCCTGAAAAGAAATCTATGCCTATCTAGTCATTCCTCATTTTTAGTCTACCCTGGGACATCACTTTCTCTCTCCATAGATTTGCCTTTTATGGCCAAGTCAGTAAGAGGGATCATACATTACATATTTGGCCTTTATCACTGGGCATAATGTTTTTGAGGTTCCTCCATGTTGCAGCATGTGTCCATACATCATTCCTTTTTATGGCTGATTAATATTCCATTATAAGGATTTACTATATTTCATCTATTCACCAATTAAGAGATGATTATATAGCCCTATATCCTAGAGCCGCTGTAAGTTGTAACAAATTGCATACACTAGGTGGTTTATCACAATATAAATTCATTCTCTCACAGTTCCAGAGGCTAGAAGTCTGAAATCAAGATGTCAGCAGGGTCATATGCTCCAAAAGCTCCAGAGGAGGATTCTTCTTGGTCTCTTCCAGCCTCTGGTGGCTGCTGGCCATTCTTGGCATCCCTCAGCTCTAGATGCATTGCTCCAATTTCTACTCTCATCTTTTAAGGTCTTCTCCCCCCTGTGTGACTCTGTATAGATTTATTTTTTCTTCTAAGGACACCAGTCATATTTGAGTTAGTCACCCCAATCCAGTATGATTTCACCTCAACTTGAGTGCATATATAAAGACCCTATTTCCTAATAAGGTCACAGCCAGGAGTTCCAGGTAGACATGAATTTTGGGGAGATACTACTGAACCCTACACATGGACATTTGGATTATTTCTACTTTTTGGCTATTGTGAATAATGTTGCTATGAGCATTCACATACACGTCTTTGTATGGATGTATGTTTTAAATTTTCCTAGGTAGATACCTATTAGAGGAACTGCTGGGTTATAATTTAAGTCTATATTTAACTTTTTCAGCAAAGCAGCTGCACCAGGGAAACCACCCCCAAACCCTTTATTTTTAAAATTTAGGGTCCTTGTTTATTTTTCTTCTCTGCTGTATCAACTTCCTGGGTCTTCTTCCTCTGCTCACACTTCAAATTGTATCATTTATTTGGTAATGTATTCACTCATTCATTCATCCTTTTAGCCAATCAACATTTATTTAAGCCCATCTCTACTTGAAACCCTCTGAAGGCACTAGAAAAAGAGATGATGAGATGTTATACCAGCCTTCTAGAAATTCATAATATATATGGGGATATATATATAATTAAAATACATAAAGCAGTCGAATAGAGATTGTTCAAAGGCCCTCACAAAACTGAAATTTCATTTAATACTTTGTATAGCATTGGAGAAGGGGAATAGTGTCCACTGGAGCCCTGTAGACTGAGAGAGTAGAGCTCAAATTGGTGGTAGCTCCTGGAAGTGGGGTGACTGAATGGATGTTGGGCAGCTAAAAACTCACGGATGTACTCCCACCTTCATATATTTTTTAAAGATTTTATTTATTTATTCATGAGAACACACAGAGAGGATTGAGAGAAAGAGGCAGAGACACAGGCAGAGGGAGAAGCAGGCTCCATGCAGGGAGCCGACGTGGGACTCTATCCCGGGTCTCCAGGATCACGACCTGGGCTGAAGGCGGCGCTAAACCGCTGAGCCACCCAGGCTGCCCCCACCTTCATATTTTAAAAAAATCTTTATTGTTCTTAGATTTCTCTATTTCTCATGGCATTCTGCTCATATTTTATTCTTATATCTCATTGAGAACATAATTATTTATTTAAGTTACCTTAAGTTCCCTATATTAATTCTGTTTTGAGGGAAAACATTTATATAATTTTTCAACTGGGAATTTGGTTGTTCGCTTCTATAAGATAATGATTTTCATTACATTTCCAGGAGTTTTTCACTACTTGCTTATTCAAATCAATGTAGCTCATAATTGTCCATATTAACAGCTATGTTAATTTACTTATCAGTTGATTTACCACTCACACCAGGTCATTAGGTTGGCAAGTCAGGAGTTTCCTTAATAGAAAGTGCCCATAAACAGGGTAGGTGGTATACTGGTTTCCTATTCCCTCTGTAACAAATTACCACATACTTAGTCGCTTAAAACAACGCAAGCTCATTATCTTATAGTTTTGGAGGTCAGAAGACTGAAATGGGTTTCACAAGACTAAAATAAAGGTGTCAACAGGGCTATGTTCCTTCTGAGGTCTCTAAGGGAACCCATCTCCTGATTTTTCCAGCTTCTAGAGGCCACCCACATTCCTTGGCTCATCATGGTCCCCTCTTTCCTCTTCAAGACGAGAAGTATGACATCCTCAGATCTCTCTGTGACCTTCTGCTTTCCTTTTTCACATTTAAAGGACCCCTGCGATTGCTTACACTTGACCCATCCAAACAGTCCAGGATATTATGAAGTCAGATGATTAGCAACCCTAATTCCATCTGCAACCGTAATTCTCCCTTGCCATGTAACATAACATATGCACAGGTTCTAGGGACTGAGATTTGGAAATTGTTCGTGGGGTGGGGAAAGGGGAAATTATTCTATTTTACCTACAGGTAGCATTAAAGTTTGGTGGCCAGGCAGGTCTTCCCTGTGTAGCCATGCAGACAGGTTTCCTCTGAGTATGGCAGGTAGCTCTGGGAGTTTGAGAACCTGATGGGTCCTCTCTTGGGCTCAGGTTCAAGATTTGCTCCCTCTGAACAAGTATACAGCTGAGCAAGGTGACTGGCTCCCCCGAGATGGCTCTAGGATTTAGAAGGCTGTCCAGGATTTTCCCCACTTTCTCCCACCCCACCTCATTCCACAAAAGATGTGAACAAGTTTGATGTTCTCCAGTTTGCCCAATGGGATATTGGGAAGGGCCAATAGAAGGAAAGCAGCCAGGCAGTAGGTATCCCCCCATATATCTTTCAAATATTCCTGCTACTTTGGAAACTCAAGTCTCAAGACGTTAATGCCTCTATTCCAATTTAAAAATGTTTATTTGAGATAGTCTTGCAATTTTTTTTTCATTTTTAAGACTAGATTTCACTACATTACTTTTTTAAAAATTTATTTTTATTGTGGTAAGAGCACTCAAGATGAGATCTACCCTCTTAACAAAACTTTAAATGTACAATACAGTATTTTTGACTATATGTACAATGTTGTACAGCTGGTCTCCAGAACTTATCTATCCTACTCAACCAAAACTTCATATACCTTCATTAGTAACTGCCCATTTCCCCTCCTCCCAGTCACTGTCAACTTCCCTCCATTCCCTGATTCCTTGAATATGACCACTCTGTCCCATACAAGTGGAACCATGCAATACCTGTCCTTTTGGTCCATCCCATTTTATACCTACTTGAGGATAGGGCTGGGGAGGTAAGTTGAGGCAGAGGAGGTATGGAGCCAAGATGTTGAATGAAACACAAATTCGACCCTTGTAATCTACAGCTTCTGGCCAACACAACTCAACAAATGAGAAAAGAAAGCTTTGTTCCTCCACTGGCAAATCAGAAAGGTGCACATTAACAACACTGCAGTGGGAAAACTGGAGAACAGCTTTTAAAGGAACATATCCATTGTGTAAGGCAGGTGCCTGGCTTCACCCTGGAAAAATTCTAATTTAGCAGATTGAGTGGGTGGGGGACCTAGGAATATGTATTTTAAAAAATCTTCACCTATGATTCTGATGCACAGTCACAAAAACGTCACATTGACATTTTGAATTTATGTCAGAAAATAAAATAAAAGCCCATATACCCCTGCACAATGTAATTCTAAAATTATTAAAAAGCTGACTACTATACAAGTAGAGGAAAAAGCCATACAGAAATATAGTATTCACTTAGCAAAGTATACAAATGTCCAGTCACTATGTTGTACACCAGAAACTAATATTGTATGTCAATACCTCAATAAAAAATAGGAATATAACCCAAAGCATGAAGAATCTAGAATTAGCCCCCGATGGTGCAATTCTGGAACAAGCAAGTTCTATTTCCCCCCAAATGCAAATGGAAGTGTAGTGTGGGAGGGAGAAGAGTATTTAGGGTTTGAAGCTAAAAATTGAGGCAAGAGCCCTTCACACCCGTTTAGTATTTCCCAGTTTAGGAAGCGCTGTCACTGATACTGCCTCAATTGATCCTCACAATAAAACTGGGAAGTCAGCTGGAAAGGTGTTGAGGGAACGAAGCTCAGGGGGAGCCCACATTCACTGCCTAAGCGGCCACTGGGCTGAACCCCAGTCTCGGCGCTGTGTTGTAGTTCCACCGGCTTTTTCTCTATTACACACGGCGGGTTCACAGCGGGACTTAGAGGACTCATCAGAGGGCTCTGCTGTGCACAGGGCCTCCCCGCCTGGGGGCTCAGTACCTGCGCCACGGCCACCTCGTAGCCGTCAGGGTTCATGGATGGCAGGATGTGCATGCGCGTGCCCTCCACCAGCCGCACGATGCGCTGGTTCCCATTCCGGAACTCCTCGCACAGGAACTCTGCCAGCTGTAGCAGCAACTCACGGCCCAGCACCTCGTTGCCGTGCATGTTCCCCACGTACTTGACCTCCGGTTCCACTGCAAGTGCGAGAACACGCACAAAGAGAGAAGATGGGGAAGGCTTGCAAGTGCCAAGGATTCCTAACCTCGCAGAGGGACCTTTTCCCTCTTTTTCCGTAATGAAAAAATGAAAATTTAGGTTTCCATTGGGTCTTTTCCAGTGATCCCTGAGGCCCTTTTGAACAAATTACAATTGTGAATCTACAGAAATTCATGCCATTGAACTACTGTGTTCATTACTCAGTCTTCACAGAAAATCCACGAAGAAGGCAGTATTAGCCTCAGAAGAAGGGAGGTACAGAGGCAGTTGCATAATTTCTTGGAGGTCATCTCATTAATAAGATGGAAGTGGAAGCCCAGGTGGCATTTATGGTAGCTTGATGTTTCTCAGAAACAAATCTTTTCAGGGTAAAAGTGGTGTTTTCCCAAGACCTGCTTGTATAAAGTCTAGGTTATGGAATAACAGTTCCTAATCATCCCAGTTGAAACTTAATTTTCCTGGTACCAAGGAAACTAAAATATATCTGAGAATGCCATGTCTGGAGGCACAGAGTAGGAAGGAATCTACCTATGTCTTCTCTTTGGCTATACTAACTGTTCGAATAAAGTAAGAACTGAGGGCATAGAAAGAGCCTCTAGAACCACTTAAGGAAAATCATTCTTGACTCTTTTTAAAAGGGAGAAAATCTCTTGTCACTTGATTTCTCCTCTACCTTACACTCTCCTGCCTCCATGATTTTTCTGATTCTGTACCTCTTCATCTCCACATTTCCAAATCCTCCTCACTATCTTTCTAGGCTCAATGCAAATGTCACTCTGAGAAGGCATTTTGGGTTCTCCCTGCTAGGAGCAAACTCGCTATTGAACTTTTCTTTAGTACTTGACATTTTCTACTCTGAATTTTACCTAATTTTGCACATGTTCCATTTCCTTACTAGACCTGGCCTTTGCAATGTATGCACATTTTAATTTTCCTTAGGATGAAATCCACTGTATTTATCCTAGTATATCTATAGCAGCTTTTCCCAAAGGAATGTCTATAACCCACAAGGATTGTGTAGTGAATTTTCTATAATGTATATTTTTAGATCTTAGAGTAGATTATATCTTTCTTACTTTACTTGGTGTTAAAATATCCCTTCTTTTAGGAAAGGATGGTAATAGCAGATAGCAGATAGTATTCTTCAACATCCTTGTTCAGCAAAATAAAATCTGGAAAATCTTTGTTGGTCCCCTCCAATTTTTCTTATTTATTAAAAATTTTCTTGTTAGACAAACCATTAGATACTCCTAACTCTGGGAAACAAACAAAGGGTTGCAGAGGGGAGGTGGGTGGGGGAAAATGTAACCAGGTGATGGGCATTAAGGGAGGGCATATGATGAGATGAGCACTGGGTGTTATACTATATGTTGGAAAATTGAATTTAAATAAAATTTATAAAAAATTTTAAACTTAAGTCAAATCCAAAAGTCTGGGAACCACTGCCTTATAGAACCTAGCATAATGTCTTGCACTTAAAGGTGCTCAATATAAAACTCTTTGTCTCCACTTTCTATTCATCCAGAATAAAACCACTTCTTATAACAACCCCTGCTATCATTTTGGTTCAAGCCGCATATTCTGACACTTAGTTGTTACAGTAAATCTCTTTGCCGAACCCCTTGCATATGCCCCACACCTTAAGTCTATTCTCCCGTCACTGGTGTCAGCAAGCTTTTTCTGTGAAGGGTCAGATCGTAAATACTTTGGTATTGTGGGCTACATTATTTCTGCCATAGCTACTTGACTCTTCCAGCAATGGCAGACATAGTCAATACAAAAACAAATGTGCAAGGGTGCCTGGCTGGCATTTGATTCTTGGGCATTTGATTCTTGATCTGGGGATGAACCTGAGCTCCACCTCGGCTGTAGAATTTACTTAAAAAAAAGAAAATGGGCATGGCTGTGTTTCAGTGAAACTTATTTACTTCAACTGGGGACTGGGCCTTAGGCATAGTTTGCTGATTCCTGTCTGAGTGGTCTTTTACAAATTTATCCCTATTCTGAGTGCTCTTTTAAAAATTCTAAGTCAGGTCATGTCATTCTTCTGCCTAAAACCTTCCAGTGTTTGGGACGCCTGGGTGGCTCAGTGGTTGAGTGTTTGCCTTCGGCTCAGGGTATGATTCTAGGATCCGGTCCCACATCAGGCTCCCCTGAGGGAGACTGTTTCTCCCTCTGCCTATGTCTCTGCCTTGCTTTGTCTCTCATGAATAAATAAATATAGTCTAAAAAAAAAAAAAAAAAAAAAAAAAAAAAACCTTCCAGTGGCTTCTCGCTTCACTCTAAAAGCCAGAATCTTTACAAAGGCTTAGAAGGCACCACATGATCTCCTGCCCAGTATCCCTATCACCAACCATACTGCTCTGACCTTGCTTTCCCATTGTTCATTCTGCTGGAGCCACAGAGGCCTCCTTGCTATTCCTCACACATGCCAAGCATGCTCCTGCTTTTCCCTCTGTCTACAAACATTTTCCTCCCCAGTTACAGTATGGCATGCTCCATCACATGCTCAAAAAACCACCTCAAAGGAGAAGTTTTGCCTAAACAGCAATGACCCCCACCCACCTTTGGCATTTGCTATCTCTCTTTTATTTTATTTTATTTTTTAAGATTTTAGTTATTTATTCATGACAGACACAGAGAGAGAGGCAGAGACACAGGCAAAGGGAGAAGGAGGCTCCATGCAGGGAGTCCGACATGGGACTCGATCCCGGGTCTCCAGGATCACACCCTGGGCCAAAGGTGGCGCTAAACCACTGGGCCACCGGGGCTGTCCTGCTATCTCTCTTTTATTTATTTATTTTTAATAAATTAATTTTTTATTGGTGTTCAATTTACCAACATACAGAATAACACTCAGTGCTCATCCCGTCAAGTGCCCCCCTATCTCTCTTTTAAAGGTTATTTTTCCCTATAGCATCTTTTTTTTTTTCATCTGATTCAACATATATTACTTAGCCAGTCTTAGACCACTAGAATTAAGGCCCCTGAGGGAGGAATCTTTCTTTTATTCTCTGTTGTATATTCAGAGTCTACAAAAAGTGCTTGCAGATAGTAGATTTTGTGGAATCAGTAATATTTGTGGAATGAATAATGAATGTGTGAATGGATGAACAGCTAAGTTATAGGGCATCAGAGAAGAGAGGTCAGTGATGACTAGAATAGTATGAGAAAGCTCCAAGGAGGACTTAAATGCTAGGCAGTGGAAAGGAGCATGGGAGCGAGGGGCTAACCTATAGTGTTCACTAGCACTCAAGATTCTGCAATGAACACACAGTCCCAAAAGCACAGTGCTTTCTATGCAAGTGTGGCTTCAGAGCAAAGTCCTTATTCTCATTTAATGGCATAGATTTCCTTGAGCCAGTGCCACTCCACCCTCCCATCCCCACTGGCTATGTAACATTTTGAAGCTGTCAGAGGCAAGATCCACTGGGTGCGAGGTGGTCACTGAAGGATTGTAAGCAGGGGAATGAGAGGATTATTATGAGTATTTGGGAAAAGTATTCTGGCATCTGTGTGCTAAATGGAAGGTTTAGAGAGTGGTGGTAGGTAGAAGTTAGAAGAGACAAGAGCCTAGTGCAATGTTTTAGGCATGTTGTGATGGTGTTTGACTAGTGTGACAGATGTGGAAGGGGAAAGGAAGAAAGAGATATGAAGCTAACAGGGTGAAGGAGGAACTGATATAATTTGGATGTCACAATTGCTGTAAGTAAAGAAGTGAGAAATTAGAAGCAACTGAAATGTCTATCAATCAATAAACAGTTATATACAACCATGCAATGGAATATTATGCAGCTAAAGAATATATAGATATATATTTACAGACATAGATGCTATTTATAAAAGACTAAGAAATGAGAAAAGTAGTTCTAGTATGATTCAATTTAAAAAAATATGTGGGGGCTTGTTAAACATGCATACAAAAATGTCTGGAAGGGTATGCATCAATATGTTTAACAATGATTATCTCTGAGTGGTGGGATTATGGGTGAATTTTGCTCTTGTTTCTTTATCTAATTTCTATTTTAATCTAAACACAAATTGCTTTTATAATAGAAACAAACAAAACGTAATCCAATGAATAAAACTAATACCCAAGACCTCAGTCTCTTTCCAGGATCCCATATACTATCACACTGTCATTCTGCAAAGACATATCCCTAAACCCTTCCAGGTTTCCTGGCAGAACGAGAAGAGCTAATTATTTCTGCTTGTATCTCCTGAAGCACTGGATAAAAATAGCATAATAGCATGGAAGGAAGAAGAGTAATGGGAGGGAAAGCAGGAGATAGGGTGGGAGTAGGGAAGAAGACTCACCTTTTACCATCAAGGTCTCGAGCAAACAGAACCTCAAAAGGAACAACAGACTACAGCCTGAATTGAGGTTGCAGCTTCCCAGAAGCAGGGGCAGTATGAGGGCTAAGCAGGGAGATACTTAGCACAGCTGGAGGAAGAGGTGACACTTTAGAGGTGGAAGGGTCCATGGACTTCCCCAGAAGCCACCCCAATTACTGGATTTGTAAGGGAAGGGTCCTGCCCCCATACACTCCAAGAACTGCTCAGGGCTTACAGGGTTCGTGGATGCCAGGGTAGTCGCTGAATTCCAGCACGTAGAGGTGTCTCCCCTTCACACTGCGCCCGATGCTGTAAACTCGCGTGATGTACGGGCATTCGTTGTGCACCTTGTACAGCGTCCGCACAAGGTCATCATAACGGTGGTGGCGAAAGGTCACTGGGGTGACCAACTTGAAGAGAAGGAGGAGGTGGAAGGAGACCAAGAGCAGGCCTGACATCTTACTAGGCTTTTTCAAAGAAACCCACTAAAATGGGCTCCACCTCTCCCAACAACTAGTCAAAATCTAAGAGCCAAGAACCAGGTCTTCCTGGTTTCCTGCCAGTAAACAGCAGTGTGACAGATCCTGACAAGAAAGTTCAGAATTGTCCCGTTCAAAGCTGGAAATTATGTAGCTCTGGAATAGCCACTCATCTCCCCTCCCCCATCTCTGTTTCTAATCTGGGGAGACCTTTTGAAAGGTTTTTGTACTCCCCCAGAATGGGTAGTTTCACTGATTCTGGCTTACTGATTAACTGGACTGTAAACAGGCTTCAATAAATAGTTGCTTATAACCCTTTGGTTCCCAGAGAATTTTGAGAAACTTGGCCTGTGCTTATTCCCTACATTACAATTTGAGATGTATTAGTTAGAATTCTGTCTGTTTCAATCAATCCCACATACTGCTGCCAGATTCTTTCTGAAGCACACCTCTGTCTTGTCTCCTTTCCCCTCAAACATCTTTCAACAGATATCATTGGGAAAATGAAAAGATGAGCCACAGGCTGGGAGAAAACAATTAAAATTCATAAATATGATACTATATCCAGAACATGTCAAGAACTCTTACAACACAATAATAAAACAAACAACCCAATTCAAAAGTGGGCAAAAGATTTGAATAGACATTTCACCAAAGTAGATCTATGAAGAGCTTATAATAAGCACCTCTAAATATGGTCACCATTATTGGTCATAAGGAAATACAACATAAAACCATAATGATATATTACTTCATACCCACTAGAATGGCCATAGTCAAAAAGTCACAATAACAAGTGTTGGTGAGAATAGGGAGAAACTGGAACCCTCCAATGGGAAACTAAATATTGAAGACACTATGGAAAATAGTTTTGCAACTTCCTAAAATGTTAAGTATATACTTACTACATCACCCAGTAAGTTCACCCCTATGTATCTCTACCCAAGAAAATGAAAACATACATCCATACAAAAATTTGTATGTGAATGTTCATAGCAGTATTATTCAAAATAGAAATTAGATTGTACAAGTTTGTAAATATATTGATTTACAGCTTCATTGAATTGTATATTTAAAGGAGGGAAATTTTTTGGTATATTATTATTTCTCAAATTATTTCTCAATAAAGCTGCTTTTAAAAAAAGATTTAAAAATAATGACGTAAGACCCTCCCCCCAAAGTTAACTATAAATTTACCAAATAGGCAAAAAGTCCACTCTGGGTACCTATCCAAGAGAACAAAGACTTGCACATGAGAATGTTTATAGCAGTCTTATTCATAATAGCCAAAAGATAGAAACTACCCAAATGTATATCAATTGGTGAATAGATAAATCAAATGTGGTATATCCATATGATTGAACACTGTAGCATGCATGGATGGACTCTAAAAACACTATGCTAAGTGAAAGAAACCAACATGAAAAACCACATATTATATGATTCTGTTTATATTAAATGTCCTGCAAAAGTAAACGTACAAAGACAGAAAGCAAACGCATGAGGCATCTGGTTGGAATGATGAGGATGTTCTAAAACGGGATGATGGTTGATGATCACACAACTCAGTAAGTTTGCTAGACATCACTGAGTTATACATTTAAAATGAGTGAGTTTTATGGTATATAAATTACACCTATTTTCAAAGAACAAAGTTTCAGTGGATCTTCATGTTCTATGGTATAAAATACAAGTGCTTCAGCCTGGTCTTCAGGTCTTTTGTACCAGGCCCAGTTGTGACTTGCCATCCTGTTCCTCAACCCAGTACAGCCTCGCCACACTGCCTACTGTCTTCTGAGGATACCCTCATTGCCTGCCTTCTTGATTTTTTGCTCGTGCTGTTTCACCTTAACCCAGCTCCCAATCTTGGGACTCCCTCACTTCCCCTTGCATTTGCTACTGTAATCAGTCTTATTGCTTTGCCTGTTATGTACTCATCCATGGTGCTAGCTCTTACAGTTAAGACATAATGTAGCCCTGCCGACACCCTGTTCCTGTTCTCCAGGATGATTGTTAGCCTCTAACCCAGAGCCTGGCACAGGTGCACTTGTTAAATGAATGAATGAATGAAACTACTGTTGACTTTTCCTTTGTATCCAGCTGCTCTATCTCTAGCAAACTTTTCCAAGGAAATTCTATGCTTATATAACCTGTCAGTAAAGATCACAATTTCCTCTTAGATACATTGGGTGAACACTATTTAGATAGGCCAGTCTGATATGGTCCAGAGGGTTAGCTTAAGATAAGCACCAAATCTGTAGTACCACAGATTACAACCCTTGCTAAATCCCTTAGTATTCTGATGAGATCCTGACACCCCAGGTAGTGAATCAAGACAGAAGGCTGTGAAGGCATTACTAATGCTATCACATACTAGGCCCTTTCTCTAGGACAGTATCTACTGTAATTACTGAAGGCTTGGCTTGGTGGCCCTCAGAGAGCCCAAATTGTTCCTCTATAAAAGAATTCCTGTTTCTCTGGCAAATGTATCTAGAGTTATTATGGGGACTTCACTCATTCTAAACAGATGACCCTCATTCTCTAAGAGAGGGATGTACCCTCCTTGTCTATTTGAACTTTGGGTTGTTGTAAACAGGGAATACCTTCTATATATCAAAGCTGAGGTTGATACTCCTTCCCCCAAATTCCACTTCGAGTACCAGAATGCGTGCCCTAAAGTCAGAGTGCATGCAATGCCTCCCAAAACTAGAAGTGGAAGGATCCTGTGTGTTAGAGGGATATGATATTTTAAAAAAATTGTTTCCAGCTTTAATGAGATATAATTAACATATAACATTGTGTACATTTAGGGCGTACAATGGGGTGATTCGATACATGCATATGTTGCAAAATGATTACCACAATAGGGTCAGTTAACACTTCTATCACTTCACTTAGTTATCTTTGTGTTTCTGTGTGCATGTGGTGAGGATATTTAAGATATACCCTCTTTTCAAGTATATAATATAGGATCGTTAACTACACTCACCGTTCTGTACATTGGATCTCCCAAACTTATTCTTTTTACAGCTGGGAGTTTGCATCCTTTGACCAACATCTCATTTCATCCACCTCCCCAACCACTATCAACCACGTTATATTCTCTGTTTCTATGAGTTTGGCTTTTTTTAGATTCCACATAGAAGTAAGATCTACAGTATTTGTCTTTCTCTGTCTAACTTATCCCATTTAGCCTGATGCACAAGGTTATGATTTTAAGTACAAGTTCAACTCCCTCTTAGGCCATTTGACATCGGGCAAATTAATTAAACTTCCCTAAACTTCAGTTTCCTTCTGTATAGGATAGAGAAGAAACAGTTCCTCTCTCATGAGTTGGGTGGATCAGATAAGATAATGCATGTAAGGCCTTTTGCACAGTGCCTGGCATATTGTGAGGGCTCAATACATATTATTAGCAGTATTACTAGAGTAGCAGCAGCATGAAGCACTTATTCTGTGCTAGAGACCATGCAAGATGATGGCTATACAATTCATTCACTCAACATATATATACTTTACTACTAAAGGCTAACAGCTTTACTATTATTATTTTTTATCTAGAATAAAACCAACAAAGACTCCTGCCCATGTGGTGCTTACATTCTGGTTAAGTGACAGACAATAGAGAGCAAAAAAGGGAAGTCTCTGTCCTCAAAATTACAAATAAGCAAGCACAACACTGGGGAAAATGTGATTGATGTAACCACTTGGGAGCACTAAGCAGGGTCACCTAATTTAGCTTTGGAGGTTCAGGGAGAGCATGCAGGAATTGAGGTGGATCAGAGGGTCCTGTCTTCCCCTGAGGTAGGTGTAATAATGGTCCCGAAAGAGGTCCACATCCTAATCTCTGGGATCTGGGAGTATGTGATGTTACATGGCAAGGTGCAATGAAGTTTGCAGATGGAATTGAAGTTGTTTATCAGCTGATCTTGAGATAGAGGGATTACCCGTGGGCCCCGTGTAATCACAAATGTCCTTATGAGTGAAAGCGAAAGGTAGGAGGGTCAGACCCCAGTGATGAGATGTGAGAAAGTGGACAAATTTTAGGCATTTCCTACTTTCTGGGTTCTCAGTATCCTCAAAGCTGTCCCTGCCTAGACCAAGAAGTCTCCACTATTTCACAATTCTACATTACCTTACAGGGTACTAACTGGTTCTTTATTCCCCACAACAGCCTTGGGAGGAGGGTGTAGTAATTCCCATTCCAGAGGAGGGATTTGCCCAGAGTCACATAACTAAGTAGTGGAGGAGAGCCTGGACTCCACACTTTCCCTGGCAGTGAGCCCAACATTCTACTCAATTCCAGTGACTACAGATATGCAGGAGAAGTAAGTTCCCACCAAGGAAATATGAGCAAATAAAGGAATACATGAAAACTTGCAAAGGAGTGGGAAGAGGTAGAAGGATATTCATATCAAGTAGGAAGGTGGGGAGTAGCTATCCTTCTTCCTCTGTCACTCTCTCTAGATGCTAAACAAAGGAGAAAGGGAGTAGGGAATGGGGGAAAGAGAGAGGGAGAGAAGGGGGACATTGTGGGCTCTCAACCCACATCTCCAGTTATCTTGGTTGTAAATTTTCTATCATGCATCAGTAACTCTGAGCTTCTGCAGAGCAATCTCAATGTCATTTAACCCTGCTAAATAAATATTCGTGGGCTGGACCTATAGATGAATCACACATTCAGCTCCATTCACATTGGCAAGCACTCTTGGAGATTTGGGTTTCAAGTGTTATGAAAGAGCAAGGCGAAGAGAGCCTGGCCAAGTGTGGAGAGTAAGGGAGGTTAATCCTCAGGAGAGACCAAGCCCTTCCCAATTCTCCTTGCTGGAATATTCTTGCAATTTGTCACCTGGGGACCTTCCCCTGATCATCTCATCTAAACAGTTCTCCCCTGGTTATGCTTCGTCTTATCTCCTATTTTTTTTCCTCCTATTTATTTTAATCAGAGAATTTCACTTGTCAGTCTGTTAATTATCTTGCTTATTTCTTGTTTATTTATTTATTGTCTGTCTCCCCCAGTAGAAGGTAAACTCAGTGAAGGCCAAGACCAACTATCTTACTGTTTACTATGTAATATCTGGGCAAAATGATAGTTACTGTTTACTATGTATTATCTGGACAAAATGCTAGTTAAAGAATGAAGGAAGGAGATAATGTATGATAATGTATGAACTCATATCTGAGATCTGAATGAGCAGATGTTGACCCAATGAAAATGGTGGAGTGTTTGAGGCTATTTTTGAGAGGGAAGAGCTTGTTATTTCTCCTTATCCTCCCAATCACGTGGAGTCTGCAAGGGACTGTTCCTGGATTTCTTTTCCTTACCTGCACTTATTCCCAGATGATCTCATTCACAAATCCCAATATAAGGTGATGACTCTCACATTTCTGTCTCTTGATGCTACTTCTCTGAACTCTAAAACTGTATTTCCAACTCTCCACTAGGATTTCTACTAGGCATTCCTGCCTACTACCACCCACCTCCTCCAGTCTCTGAACATGCAAGAGCAGAGCCTTACAAATGCAAACTGTGTCCACAAATGCCACCAAATGAGGATGGATCAACTGGATTAGGAGAGACCAGTTCAGTCCCCCAGCACTTCCTTTCCCCTTGCCCTTCTTAATATTTCCCCAATGCACTTATTAATATCTGACATACTGTATATTTAATTGTCTTCTCTCCCTGTAAAAATATAAATACCTCATGGGTAGAGAAGTGGTCTCTTTTATTTTCTGATGTGTCTCTGGCAACTAGATCTGGATATAGTAGGTTTCCCATAAATACTTGAGTGAGTGAGTGATGGAATGATTCAATGCTCTTACTCACATAATCCCATCTAACCTTTACCTCATTCTTTCTTGAAGGACCATTATAACCCATTTGCATGTATGAGAACCCCTAAAATTTAAATAATTTTCCCAGATCATATAACTTATATTTGGCAAATCTGAAGATTAAATTAGCTTTCTGACTCCAAAGCTTTCTGCAATTCCAGAGTGCCACTATCACATTGGCCTGGTTATATTATGAAACTGCCTCCAATTTGGCTTCCTGTTCTTAAAGGTCCTTGAAAAGAATTCTTCTTAAAAATTACTTCATCTGCTTATGTAAAAAGGAAATCTGTTTGTTATAAAAGTGTAGAAAACATAGAAAAGAATAGGCATAAAAATAAAATGCTACTCCCAAACCCCATCAACTAGGAATAATCCCTGTTATCAACTGGTGACAGTCAGTCCTATCGGAACGACCAAAATCTGCTCCTTCCCTCCTCTGCTTCCTCAAACTGACAAATATTCCACGATTGATCCAATTTCTCAGGCAAAACCTAGGACTTATCCATAATTCTCTTTTTATCTTACTCCCCCTGTCACCAAGTTACATGAACTCTGCTTTGAAGTGTATCTGGAAACGACTCTCACCTTGACCACTGTCATCCTCGGGTAGGCGACATATATTTCTTGCTTGAATGATGACAATAGCTTCACCATGTGTTTCTTGTTTAGATAATGACAATAGCCTCCTTGAATATTCTTCATGTTTCTAATTTTGCTCCACTAGTTTTATTAACTACACCATAGCCAGAGTTTTGAAAACACAAATCAAATTACTTTCCAACTCGAAACAATTCAGTGATGTCCCCCATACTTAACAAAAAACTTGTATGTCATGTAAAGGCCCAATCAGCAATGGTCACACTGTCCTTTATATTCCTTGGACATACTAAGCTTATTTCTGCTCCAGGGCCTTTATACTTGCTGTTTTCCCCACCTGGAATGCATCTCCTAAATCTTTGTGTGGCTTCTCCCTTTACAAATTTAAGTTCATGCTCAAATACCACCACTTTTAGAGAGGCTGGCCCTGATCTCCCTCCCTACCTAACCTAGTTCCTGGCTGCCACCCCTTTCCATTCTCTATTCCTCTACTTGATTCTTCTTTATAATGCTTATCATTACCTAAAGGCATATTATGTAATTAGTTGTTCCTTTTTTTGTTCGTTGTATCTACTACTAAGATGTAAGTTGTGTGAAGTCAGTATTACTATCTTGTCTGTTTCACTGCTTTTCCTCCATGCTTAGAATGATACTTAGCACATACTAGGTGCTCAATAAATGTTTGTTAAATGAATGAGTGTGCAGATAGAATATACAACTAATTTTTACAAAAAAGGGATTATAGCCTTTATGCTTTTAAAAAATTACTATATTGAATATATTGAACAGAAGAAAAAGAAGTTGAAATAAAGCCAAAGGAATTGCTTACCTTTCAAAAAATATCTCTTCATAAGATGAAATAACAGTTGCTAAATAGTGGTTCTAAAGAAAAAGAAAAGCATAGAAATCATTAAGGGATGGTGATTGTTATGCTGTTAGGTTTTTCAACCACGTATTTCACTTTTAGGTGGTAACTAATCTACGCTGTGATTGGTCCTTTGTTCATTTATTCATTCAACAAGAATATATTGAACGTTTTGTGTCAAGCTCTGATATGGGGCTAGATAGTAAGACAGGCAAGATCCTACTCTCATGGTCTGTGTGTTTGTGTAGGAAGTAGAAAATAAACAGTGAGAACATAGTGACGGAGACATTTTCAGGTTTTACCAATGAAGAAAATGAAACAGTATGTGATAATATAGACTGGTCTAAGGCAGGCTATGGTGGGTTGGGGTAGCTGATTTGGATTGGGGGTCAGAGATGGCCTGCCATGTGCAAGTGACATTTGATTTGAGCTTTGCATCATTAAAGTCAGTCAAAGAAATCTGAGGACAGAGAACAAGCAGTCCAGGCAGATGTGAAGCTGAGGCATGCTCAGAACAGTGATGATTGGCTGACCTTAGGACCAGAGAGCCAACCAGTGCAGGAGCTTGGACACCAGGGAGACCACACGTCTGAAAGGAGAGTAGGGAGGTGGCACACACCTCATTCATTTGGCAAGCAGTTCAGATTTTATTCTAAGAGCAAGGACAAGCTTTAAACTGAGGGATGGCATGAAGTGAGCTCTCCCTTCTCCTAAAAGCCCCTTTGCAGTCCTATGGCTCTGGATTTCTGTTAGTCACATTACTTGATGCTGTAAGATTTATATTCAGTTCTGTGTTCAATTTTCCAAGTGTTGAGCTGTCTTTAAGATTTATTTTTATTGATTTATTTTTAAAATATTTTGTTTATTTATTCATGAGAGACATAGAGAGTGAGGCAGAGACACAGGCAGAGGGAGAAGCAGAATTCTCAAGTGGAGCCTGATGTGGGACTTGATTCTGGGACCCCAGGACCACGCCCTGAGCCAAAGGCAGATGCTCAACCCCTGAACCACCCAGGCATCCCTGTCTTTTAGATTTAAAATGGTACAATGTTTATCATTATTGCTTAAAATTGTGGCTCCTCCTTCTCCCTTGGTTTTCTTTCAGATAGAAAATTAATTTGTTTCCCATCATTACATATATTTTTTTTAAGATTTTATTTATTTATTTACAAGAGACGCCGAGACACAGGCAGAGGGAAAAGCAGGCTCCATGCAGGGAGCCTGACGTGGGACTCGATCCCAGGTCCCCAGGATCAGGCCCTGGGCTGAAGATGGCCCTAAACTGCTGAGCCACCAGGGCTGCTCCTCCCATCATTACATATTAAACAGCAAATTTGTTGAGATGAAAAAATACCTCAACATAAATGTAAACCTGAAAAAAGTCTTTTTTTCCCCACGATATTAGGTTGATATCTTTTTACAGTGCATTTGTCTGGCCTTTCCAGTAAGTTTTGTTTACTAGTCAAAACCTGCCATAAAGTCAAGGCCATCAGTGTCCTGTCCATTCTACCGTTCTTGACAATATAGTCCTCCTAAAAAGCCATGTCCTCTTGGTGCTTCAAGGCTCTGCTGAGCTCTTTGTAATGGCTTTATTTTCCTCTCTTATTTTTCTTCCTGAGTTCTTCCTGCAGCCACCTCCCTGCTATTCTGCCTTCCTGAATGGCTTGTCTTCTGGTTTTCCAGGAGTGTTATCTGCCCTTCAACTCTCTATACCCATTAGGATTAGATAAAAAACTCCAAACAATTGTAGTTTTGCTTCTTTCTCAGACTAATGGAGTTTTGGAAGCAAGCAGTTCAAGACCAGGGTGATCATCAAGTGGCCCAGGCCCCTTCTTGTTTGTAGCTCTAGCAGTCTTACTTAACAGACGTGTACCTTATGCCTGGATGGATGGTCCAGTGCTGCCCATCATGTTTATATTCCCGCCACCAGGAAGGAACCTACCTTCATCCTTTCAAAACAAACTTCGCACCCTCACACACTGCTGGTGGGAACAGATAAATGGAATGTGGTATGTACATATTTGGCAATAAAAAGGAATGAAGCACCAATACATGCTATAACATGGATGAACCTTGGAAACATTATGCTAAGTGAAGAAAGCTGTTTACAGAAAACCTACCTATTGCATGATTCCATTTGTATGTGGTGTATGTATTGTATCTCAATAAAGCTGCTAAAAAAATAAAAACAAAATCAAATTGCCCGGTTTTAC